TTTTTTTTGGTGCCAGTTCTGAGACTTGAACTCAGAGCCTACGCACTGTCCCTAGCTCAGGGCTAGCACTCTGCTCTACTTCCAGCTTTTAAAATAATTTATTAGAGATAAAGAGTCTCACAGTCTTTCCTGCCCAGTCTGGTTTCAAACTGCAATCCTCAGATCTCATCCTTCTTAGTAGCTAGTAGCTTAGTATCTTTTTATTTCTTTTGGATTCATACTGTCATGATAGCAACCTTTTTATTGCCTGACTGGGGCTTGAACTCAGGGCCTGGTGCTGTCCTTGAGCTGCTTTTTGCTCCAGGCTAGCGCTCTACCACTTGAGCCTCAGTGCCACTTCTGGCATTTTCTGAGTAGTTTATTGGAGATAAGAGTCTCATGGAGTCTTTTGCCCAAGCTGGCTCCAAACCACAATCCTCAGATCTCAGCCTCCTGAGTAGCTAGGATTACAGGTATGAGCCACTGGGGTCTTGACTGATGTCAACATTTCCTATGAAAACATCCCTCCCTACATTAAAAATAGAATGTTTTTCATCTGAGGCTTGTGTGGCATTTCCCCATGCTGAGATTCAAGTAATATATTGGTAGTAATGCTGCCTAGATGATACTGTGTTTTTCAGGGTTTCATATTCAGGGACACATGATATCCACTAGTTATCATAAGTGATGTTCATTTTAATCATCTAATCAAAGTGTTACTGGTTGGTTTTTATACTATATAGTTATTAATTTGTTGTATCTTACAAGGAATACATTGAGAAAACACTTTAGGATTTTTTCCCAGGATGCAAAATGATAGTGTATTTTTCCCCCAATCCAGCAAGACATAGCTTTAAAGTTAATTATAACTTATGTTAAAAAATCATTTTTTGAATATCAAATGATCAGTATTTAAATAAGAGATTTGCTGCTATTGCATACAACATTTTACATGGTAGTCATTGAAATATTATAATGCCTTAGAATTTAGAATTTAATGGCTATGGGTCTTTTTGTAAATTCATTGCATTTTACATATTTATTTATGTATTTAGTTATTTTTGTGCCAGTCCTGGGGTTGAACTCAGAGCCTGGGCACTGTCCCTGAACTTTTTTTGGGGGGAAGGGGGTCCGGTCTTGGGGTCTGAACTTGGGCTAGCGCTCTGCCACTTGAGCCATAGCACCACTTCCGGCTTTTTTTTTCTGCTTATGTGGTGCTGAGGAATCGAACCTAGGGCCTCATGCATACAAGGCAAGCGCTCTACCACTGAGCTACCTTCTCAGCCCCTGTCCCTGAACTTTTTGACCAAAGCTGGCTAGTACTTTACTGCTTGAGTCACAGCTCCACTTCTGGCTTTTTGGTGGTTAATTGGAGACTCACAGACTTTTACTGCCTGGACTGGCTTCAAACTATGATCCTCAGATCTTAGCCTCCTGAGCTGGGATTACAGGTGTGAGCTACCAGTGCCCATCCTCATTGCATATTTTTTAAAGTTGAATTTATAATATACTTTAGAATATGAATTTTGTCTGATACTTATTCTCAGTCTACAGATTGTTTACAATATACTGTATTATTTGAATCCTGCTAACAAACTCTAATGAACTATTGATCAGATAATAATCATTAAATTCATTCTGATGAAAGCAGTTTTACAATACAAAGTAGATTGTGAATCTGTTACTACAATGGAAAGATACAGACTTTTTCCCCTTTGAAGCAAAAATGTTTGTCTAACTAAAACTGATTTTTCTAGAACAGTTAATATCTTTAATGTGTGTATGAATCTATTGCCAAATATTGTTTCAAGCAATGTGGCAGATTAGATGTTCAAAGAAACTTCTGATAAAGAATACAATAAAAAATACAAAAAAAATACAATACAAAAAAAAAAAACCTCTATAAAATTTTTTGTGTGGGGCTGGGAAGGTAGCTCAGTGGTAGAGCGCTTGCCTTGCATGCATGAGGCCCTGGATTCAATTCCCCAGCACCACATAAGCAAAAAAAAAGAAAAAAAAATTTTTGTGTATGTGCTGGGGCATGAACTCTTGGGCCTGGACCCTGTCCCTAAGCTTTTGTGCTCAAGACTAACATTATACCACTTGAGTCTGCCTTTTTTTGTTAGTTCATTGGAGATAGGAATCTCACAGACTTTCCTGCCTGGGCTGGCTTTGAACCATGACCCTCAGATCTAAAGGCATGAGCTCTCAGCACTTGGGTTGGTTTTTTTGTTTGTTTGTTTGTTTTAAATTTTATAGCATAGCTGAGTTACCCTGATGCTATAATGAGAAAGCCAATTTCCATTGGGATAAATGAGCCCTGAGATCCTTTTAGCCCAAAGGCGCTTTCTGATCCTTCATGTCCCAGAACCTAAGAAGGAAGTGTTTGCAAATGACAGAGAAGTCTGAGCCTGAGCATTATGATACATTTGGACATTTCAGCAAAAAGCCGGGATCTCCAAAGAGTAAAATTTTCTGTGAATGATTTTGGAAAATAACTGGCTCTTCAGAGTGATTCTCCCATCTCACTCTTGACTTTGTTTGGAGTAGACTTTTGTGCTGAGAAATCATCACAGTCCTTACTTTGCTCATGTTGATTTGAAGTTAGATTTCACACTCTACTGTACCCCAGAACAAAATGTTAATGTAAAATCCCCACCACTCCCCCAAAACATCTATCTGGATTTTAATTTAGATTTTTGAGTACTTTAGATTTTTATCGTCCCAAGAACTTGCCTGAAACAAATAGAAATCTTTTCTGGAGAAAAGTAGTGGCTATGTCTTGGAGGGAGGGGGTTTTTGTTTTGATTTGTTCTGTGTTCTTGTTTGCCATGCTGAGCATCAAACCCAAGACCTTGTTCATGCTAGGAAAGCAGTTTGTGAGTGACCTACATCCTCATATGAAAAATGTTTTAAATACTAAATTTCTTAATTCTAGGAAATGTGAATTTAAAAATCACAAGCCTGACATACTGTACATACCTGTAATCCCAGCCCTCAAAAAGCTCAAACAGAAGAATCAAGAGCAGCCTAGGTTATGTAGTAATACCCTGTCTCAAAAAAACAAAAAAATCCAGAAAGCACTAAACATGAATAAACCAACCACTCTAAATGGAAGTCAGCAAAAGCCACAAACTGCAAAATCAATTCCTAAAATTATCAAAGGACAATATATATAGTATATATATATATATATATACTATATATAATATATATAAAGATATTTAAAAAGGAAATTGAAGGATGGGTGCTGGTGGCTCATGCCTGTAATCCTAGCTACTCAGGAGGCTGAGATCTGAGAATCACGGTTCAAAGCCAGCCTGGGCTGGAAAGTCAGTGAGACTCTTATCTCCAATAAACCACTAGAAAACCAGAAGTGGCGCTGTGGCTGAAGCAGTAGAGCAGCTCGCCTTGAGCTGAAGAGCTCAGGGACAGCGCCCAAGCCCAAAGTTCAAGCCCCACGGCTGGCCAAAGAAAAGGGGGGGGATTGACTGTACAGTCAATCACTGTACAGTGATGAAAATGATAATAGCAAAGAATTATCTAGCATTCTAATTTCTGCAATCTACTTTTGATGCTATAAAATTTAATGTGTGATATTATAGTTGTAAATATTCAGTATAACATATACATTGATAAGTATAGGAGCTATACTTCCTCAAATCTGTTCAGTCTAAAAGTCAGAGAAGGCAGCTTTCAATTCAACTTGAAGACAGCTCTGTCTCTCTGACTATGAACAGAGTTTAGATGACCTGTGTAGGGATTAAGTTTGTAATGAAAGATAGGGCTAGAAAAGATAGCCTCTAAGACCTCCTTGTACTTTTAATGAAATTACATGGTTCTATTTTTGACTTAGTGTTTCTCATATCCTATTTCTCTCTAGGAGATATTTTCCTTTTGACGATCCATTAAGGTTGCTTTTGTTTAGATAGATATAAATCAGTCCTGTTTTCTCTAGCTACATAAATGTTGGGATGTGGGAAGCTTGAGTTATGATAAATTTAAAAAAATTATCTACCATCTATAGGCTTTTATTTCTATAGGTTTAAAACAAAAAGACTGAATTTGGCTGATGCCTGTAATCGTAGCTACTCAGGAGGCTGAGGTCCATATGCTCACAGTTCATAGCCAGACCAGGCAGAAAAGTCTGAATGTCTCCATCACTAATATAACTAGCAAAAATAAACCAGGCTGGAGGCATGGCTCAAGTGGTAGAGGGGCTAGCTGAGCAATTAAGCTGAACAATCATGAGACCTTGAGTTCAAACTCAAGCTAAAAGTAGAAAAAATATTTTTCCCCAAAACAGGAAAAAAAAATGCTTTGCATCTAGAACATTCTTTTGAAGTTATAGTTTGTTTATATAGTAGTTCCTTGGTTGCAGCCAATTAAGGTATAGTAATTTTATACACCATAAAAATGATGTGCCATGGGCTGGGAAGGTGGCTCAGTGGTAGAGTGCTTGCCTTGTATGCATGATGCCCAGTATTCAATTCCTCAGCACCACATAAGCAAAAAAAGCTGGAAGTGGCGCTGTGGCTCCAGTGGTAGAGCATTGGCTTTGAGCTGAAGAGCTGAGGGACAGTGCCCAGGGCCAGAGTTCAGGCCCCACGACTGACAATAATGATGATGAGGAGGAGGATGATGATGATGATGATAATAATAATGTATCATTTCCTTTGTTGTTTATAAGATGTCAAAAATGGTTTCTAACACAGCCTGAGTTTCCCTAGACTTTTTCAGTCAGGAAAAAAATGAAGCCTGTATTTTAAATAGCTTTTTACTCATACTTGCAGGTATGTAAAAGTTCCACAAGAATTTCTGGGGCTTTTTAATTACATATACCTAGGCCCCTTGGATCAGATAGGCAAGAATGGAGATTGGAGTTTAGGTACTACTATTATTTTCAGAAATTGCTGTCATAACATGAAGAATGTTTTCCTTCCAGCTCTTCTTTCTTCTATATTTATCTCTCCATCTCATTTATAGATACAGTGATGAAATACTTATGTTTTTACTTGCAGACTTCTCTTTTCTCAAGACTAACAAAGAATTAGCATGACCATCACCTTACTGAACACAGAATCACTCCTCTCCTGAACCACGTAAGATTTTTGCATCAGAATTTTTTGGACTTGTTTCATCTTCTTTCAGAGTAAGTTTTATTTTTCTCCCAGGATCTTCATCTCTTTATGTAAAACAAGCTTCTAGTGGATTTATGTACTGATGTACAAAACAGGACTAGATAATAAGGATTACATTCAGAAATTTCATATAGCCAAAATTACTTTTGAAAATGCCTTAGGAAGCTAGTACATTAACATCTAACAATTGATATTTGAGAATTAGATTATATTGTTGGCTTATATTTGAAGGCTGTATTATTTTTGGAATAAATACTTTCCAAGATCCTGAGATGTTGCTTACTGGTAGAATGTTTGTCTAATCTGCATATAATCCTGGATTCTATCCAGCATCACCTTAAAAAAAAAGGAGAAAAAGAAAATGTTTGTTACAATAATTCTTCCTTTTAAGCCCTAGAGCCATTCTTTTTGTGAAGAAGTCAGGCAGAATTATACATACTATCTATGCAGTATTTTTTCTGTTACTGCTGAGCTTAATACAGTTGAATTTGTGACAATCCATAGTATATGATTATGATGCCATATTGAAGTTTCACCTGAATTTTTTATGCAATGCTTTTGTTTTTCAAATAGGAAATTATGAACTCTAGTATCATTTCTTTATTTTCTACAGATAATGGATTCTGAATTAGTACATAGTGTAGTTGGAAGCTATCTTAAACCTCCAGAAAGAGTGTTTGCTCCACCATTCACCCAGAATGAATCATCTCAGAGTTGCTACCCTCTGAACTTAGAAGTTATCTCTCCTAAAATGCTTCAGAGTCCAAATAGCCAAGGTAATACTAAGGAAAGATTTTTATATAGAATTAAGTATGAAGTATGTTATTGTGTATTTCGTATTACTAAAACTTCCAATTTTGATTATTTTGCTAAGTTTCTAAGAATGATCATAGACAAGTTATTTAAAATTTTTGGTTTGAGCTTCAGCTATATGATGAATATTAATATAACCAACTATATATATCACAGATTCATTCAAAAAAAAGAAAAAGAAAAATACTCTCTGAAGAATAAAAGACCAGATTTGGAATCGGTCTAAGCTAGATGATAACAATCTAGATGAGTTAAGTAGGGCTTTCTCTTATTCAAGGATTAGGTTTGAAAATGGAAGAAATCCAAAATTATCCTTGAAAATCTTTTTAGAAACCATTATATACAATTACTGCAAAATATCATTATAACTTTTCAAATATAAACTTAGGATAATCTTAAAATTATTAAATCAAATTTAATTTTATTAACTTAATATATTTAATTTTGTCAATTAAATTTGATTTAATAATTTATTAAAATTATGAGTCCAATCCGGGCACTGGTGGCCCACGCCATGTTTTATTTTTATAAGGACTATACATTGTACATTTTTCTGTACACTAACAAAGATAAACTGCTTTTTAAAAATATTATTCTGTATTAGTATGATTTTAATCTTTGAAAAACTCACTTATAACATCAAGCAAATCATTTTTCAACAGCTCTTATTTTAGCCTTAAAAAGTCTTCAGGAAAAGATTCGTCGTTTAGAGCTAGAGAGAACACAAGCTGAAGATAATCTGAATATCCTCTCAAGAGAAGCAGCAGAATACAAAAAGGCCTTGGAGAATGAAACAAATAAGAGAAATCTGGCACATCAGGAACTGATAAAGCAGAAAAAGGGTAAAAAATACAAGACTTCTCACAAATGAGGGGTTACCAAAGTTTATTACAATATCTTTGTCTCATGTAAATTGAAACCTTGAGACTTGTTCTCAGACATTTTAATATTTGTGGGAAATGAATATAACTTTGAATTTATCTCTATTACATCCAGTTCATAAATTTTTGAAAGTAAAATAAAATTTGCTTTTAGATAGATGTGTTTAGAATGTTTTCAGAATAAGCAACAAAACCAGCTTAATTCATAATTAAAATATTTTCAGTTAATGCTAATGTTTAAGCTTTAAAATATAGAGCAATAATTATAATTTAACAATATGAAAAGATAAAAATAAATACAAGAAGTTTTTTAACTTGAGAAGAAGTATTAATTTAGAAGAATAGGCAGGTAAATAAAAGCTTTTGTAGAAATTACAAAAAGGACATTAGACTTAACAATTTAGACTATAAGTTCCTCATATAATTTACTTAGAAATTTATAGTCCTTTTCCTTATAACACTATACTGACTACATAAACAAAGCTAAAGTTTGTGTTTCACATTACAAATGACAAATGACGAGAGTTGCTTTTTCCTAAGGCACCGGAGGAAAGAGCTGGGGAAAATAAAAGTGTTAAATGATTAGAAATAGTTTGTAACCAGGCATTAGTGGCTCTCACACCTGTAATCCATGTTACTCAAGAGATTGAGATCTGAAGATCACAGTTTAAAGCCAGCCCAGGGAAGAAAGTCTGAGACATCTTATGTCCACTTAACCAGCAAAACACCAGAAGTGGAGATGTGTCTCAAGTGGTAGAGCACTAACCTTTAGTTCAGGAACACAAATGGAGGGATAAAGGGTAAACAAACACATCAATGGTACTGTATGGAAAATGAACTATACAACTTGTGGGTGGGGACAGGAAGGAAAAAGTGAGAGAGAGTGACAGAAGGAGTGACGTTGTCCAAAAAGAATTGTACTGTTTACCTGTTTAAGTAATTTTAATCCCTTTGTACATCACCTTTATAATAACAATTTTTAAAACTTACCAACCTCCCCTCCCCCAAACAAAGAAGCCGAGGGACAGCATCCAGGCCGAGTTCAAGCCCCAAGACTGGTATTTAAAAAATAAAGTTTGTTTATGCCTATAGAATTAGGCAAATGGCCAGTAGTCAGGAACTGAGGAAAATGGAAATAGTAGAGGTCATATTTGTGAATTCTCCAAGCTAAGAGACTTTGCATCTTGTTTTTTTTTTTTTTTTTTTTTTTTTTATTGTAAAGCTACTATACAGAGGGTCACAGTTACATGAGTGAGGTTATGAGTACACTTCCTCTTGAACATTGTTACCCCCTCCATTGTTTTCCCCCTACCATCCCCTCCCTCCCTCCCTTCCCCGAGGTTCTTTTTTTTTTTTTTTTTTTTTTTTGATTGTGATTAAATGATTACATAATTTCAAAGTCACAAGTTCATTCTAACTTCCCTGGAGCAAATTGTCTACCACAGTCTGTAATATATAACAGTGTTCACATGTTATATACCATATTTGTGATCAGCAGCATGAGGATATTTAGTAGTGGTTCAACCAGATGAGCGGGAGTTCTTTGTTTCTTAAGTCCTGTTAGTTTTGTCGTATCACTAACCTTTTGGATTTAGCATCCACTTATGAGGGAGACCATGTACCGTTTGTCTCTTCGTTCTTGGCTTACCTCGCTCAACATGATTCCTTCTAGCTCCATCCATTTCCCTGCAAATGCCATTATTTTGTCATTTCTAATGGCTGCATAATATTCCATTGTGTATAGATACCACAATTTTTGGATCCATTCATCTGTGGTGGGGCACCTAGGTTGTTTCCATATCCTAGCTATTGCGAACAGTGCTGCAATAAACATGGAGGTGCACGTGTCCTTGTATATTGGTTCCTGTTGTTCAGGGTAGATGCCTAGAAGTGGTATGACTGGGTCGTAAGGGAGGTCAATCTTTAGCTTTCTAAGGACCCTCCAGACTGCTTTCCAAAGTGGTTGTATAAGTGTACATTCCCACCAGCAGTGTAATAGGGTTCCTCTTTCTCCACATCCCCTCCAGCATTTGTCGTTGGCTGATTTGTGGATGTGGGACATTCTGACTGGGGTAAGGTGGTATCTCAGGGTTGTCTTTATTTGCATTTCCTTCACCACCAGGGATGATGAACATTTCCTCATGTGTTTCTTTGCCATTTTTATTTCTTCATTTGAGAAGTCCCTCTTTAGTTCCCTTGCCCATTTAGTAATTGGTTTGTTAGGTTTGGGAGGGATTAGTTTCTTGAGTTCCCTGTATATACAGGATGTTAACCCCTTGTCTGATATATTGCTGGTAAATATTTTTTCCCAATTAGTTGGTTGTCTTTCTAGCTTAGTTGCGATAGATTTAGCTGTGCAGAAGCTTTTTATTTTAAGGTAGTCCCATTTGTCGAGTCTCTCTCCAACTTGTTGTGACCCTGGGACTCTGTTCAGGAAGTTCCTTCCTGTGCCTATTAGTTCAAGTGTCTCTCCTACTCTGTCCTGCAGTAGTTTCAGAGATTCAGGTTTAATGTTAAGGTCTTTAATCCATTTTGAGTTGATGTTGGTGCATGGTGATAGGCTGGGGTCCACTTTTAGTTTTCTGCATGTGGCTGCCCAGTTTTCCCAGCACCAGCGGTTGAAGAGGCTGTGTTTCTTCCATTGTATGTCTTTGGCTCCTTTGTCGAATATCAGCTGGCTGTAGGCCTGTGGATTTATATCTGGATCTTCTATTCTGTTCCATTGGTCTTCGGGTCTGTTTTTGTGCCAGTACCATGCTGTCTTTGTGATTATAGCTCTGTAGTAGAGTTTGAAGTTCGGCATGGATAGCCCTCCCATATTGTCTTTATCCCCTAGAATTGTTTTGGCTATTCTAGGTCTTTTGTTGTTCCATATAAATTTTTGGACTGTTTTCTGTATTTCAGTGATGTACGTCATTGGGATTTTAATAGGAATTGCATTGAATTTGTATATTAATTTTGGAAGTATCACCATCTTTACTATATTAAGTCGGCCTATCCAGGAGCATGGGAGGTCTTTCCATTTCCTAGTGTCTTCTGCAATTTCTTTCTTTAACTTTTTATAGTTCTCATTAAATAGTTCTTTTACATCTTTGGTTAGGTTAATTCCTAAATATTTTATTTTTTGGGAGGTTATTGTGAATGGGGTTGCTCCCTTTATTTCCCTCTCTTCCTGTGCGTTATCAGTGTATAGGAAGGCAACTGATTTTTGTGGGTTTATTTTGTATCCTGCTATTTTGCCGAAGTGACTTATGATTTCTAAAAGTTTGGGGATGGAGTTTTTGGGATCGTGGAGGTATAGTATCATGTCGTCTGCAAAAAGGGATAGTTTCACTTCTTCTTTCCCTATGCGGATCCCTTTAATGTCTTTTTCTTGCCTTATTGCCCTGGCTAAGGGTTCTAGGACTATGTTGAAGAGGAGTGGAGACAGTGGACATCCTTGCCTTGTTCCTGTTTTTAGGAGGATTGGTTGTAGCTTTTCCCCATTAAGTATAATATTGGCTATTGGTCTGTCATAAATGGCTTTTATTGTTTTTAGAAATGTTCCTTCTATTCCTATTTTCTCCAGAGCTTTTAGCATGAATGAATGTTGAATTTTATCAAAGGCCTTTTCTGCATCTGTGGCGATAATCATGTGATTCTTGACCTTGGCTCTGTTGATATGCTGGATTACATTTATTGACTTACGTATGTTAAACCATCCCTGTGTCTCTGGGATGAAGCCTACCTGATCATAGTGTATTATTTTTTTTATGTGTTTCTGGATTCTGTTAGCTAGAATCTTGTTAAGGATCTTTGCATCTGTGTTCATCAAGGAGATTGGCCTGTAATTCTCCTTTTTGGTTGGGTCTTTGCCTGGTTTGGGGATGAGTGTGATATTGGCTTCGTAGAATGAGTTTGGGATAGCTCCCTCCTTCTCTGTTTCTCTGAAGAGCTTGAGGAGTATGGGTATTAGTTCTTCTTTAAAGGTCTTATAGAATTCTGCTGTGAATCCATCTGGTCCTGGGCTTTTTTTTGTTGGAAGACTTTTGATAGCTTCCTGTATCTCATTATAGGATATTGGCTTATTTAATTGGTTAACTTCTTCTTTGCTCAGTTTGGGTAACTTGTATTTCTCTAAAAATGCATCCATTTCCGCCAGATTTTCTTCCTTTAGAGAGTATAGCTTTTGAAAGTAGTCTGTTAGAATTGTTTGGATATCTTGGGTACGTGTTGTGATGTTTCCCGTGGCATCCCTAATCCTATTAATATGGGTTTCCTCTCTTCTTTTTTTAATTAATCTTGCCAACGGGCCATCAATTTTGTTTATTTTTTCAAAGAACCAGCTTTTTGTTTGGTTTATTTTGGTTATGGTTTTCTGATTTTCTAATTGGTTAATCTCTGCTCTCAATTTGGTTATCTGGCTTCGTCTAGTAGCTTTAGGTCCCATTTTTTCTTGTTTTTCTAGCTGTTTTAGTTGCAACATGAGATTATTTACTTGGTCTGTCTCCATTCTCTTGATGTGGGCACTGAGGGCAATAAATTTGCCCCTCAGGACTGCTTTTGCTGTGTCCCACAAGTTTCTTTGTGAGGTGTTTTCATTTTCATTGAGTTCTAGGAAATGCTTTATTTCTTCTCTGATCTCTTCTGTTACCCAGGCCTTGTTAAGGAGTGTGCTGTTCAATTTCCATGTATTAGAGAAATTTCTGCGGTATGCTTTGTTATTGAGAGCTAGCTTGATTCCACTGTGGTCAGATAGGATACAGGGGATTATGTCGATCCCTTTGTATTTGCTTAAGTTCCTTGAATGAACTATGATATGGTCTATTTTGGAGAAAGTTCCATGAGCTGCTGAGAAGAATGTGTACTGTGTTGTTTTAGGGTGAAATACTCGGTAGATGTCAGTTAATTCCGCTTGAAGTATGGCCTCACTTAATTCGGTAGCTTCTTTGCCAATCCTCTGGTTGGTAGACCTGTCCTTTGGTGAGAGTGGCGTGTTAAAGTCTCCTAGTATTATCGTATTGGGATCTATTTTATTCTGTAAGTTTGAGAGCATTTGTTTAACATATCTGGGTGCACCGATATTTGGGGCATATAAGTTGATGATGGTTATATCCTCCTCTTGGATTGTTCCCTTTATTAATATGTAATGTCCGTCCTTGTCTTTCTGTACTGATTTTAATGAAAAGTTTATTTTGTCAGATATCAGGATAGCTACACCTGCTTTCTTATTGGGGGAATTTGATTGGTAGATCCTTTTCCACCCCTTCACTCTGAGTTTGTTTGTATGTTTGGCTGAGAGGTGGGTCTCCTGAAGGCAACAGATGGATGGGTCTTGTTTTCTGATCCAGTCCTCAGTTCGTTTTCTTTTAATTGGCGAATTCAGCCCATTTATATTAAGAGAAAGTATAGAGAGATGCATTGTTGTCCCTGCCATTCCGTTTTCCTAAGTTTTTCTTCTTTCCTTTCCTCCTGTGCTTGCTCAGTTAGACTTTGAGTAATGCCTGTTTGGGGCAGGTCCCAGTTCCTGGTTGCTTTCTTCAGGTTGTGTCCCCCCTCTTAGAATTCTTTGTAATGCTGGCTTAATGTTTATGTATTCATTTAGTTTTTCTTTGCTATTAAAAGTTTTCAGTTCTCCATCGAATGTGAATGCTAGCTTTGCCGGGTATATCAGTCTGGGTTGGCAGTTATTGGCTCTCAGGGCTCGTATGGTGCTTTCCCAGGCTTTTCTTGCATTCATTGTTTGTGTGGAGAGATCTGCAGTGATTCTAATTTTTTTCCCGTTGTAGTATAGCTCCTTCTTCATTTTTGCTGCATGCAGGATTGTTTCCTTATTATTCAGATCCATCATTGTTACTATTATGTGCCTAGAAGTGTTTCTCCTGGGATCTTGCTTGTTGGGTGTTCGATAAGCTTTTGTGATGTAGTTAAGATGGTCGTTTTTGAGGTGGGGAAAATTTTCATTGACTATCTTGTTAAATAGGTGTTGCATTCCCTTGCTCTGGAATTCCTCACCTTCGTCCACTCCGATTATGCGAAGGTTAAATTTTTTAGCATTATCTGCTTGCTCTTGAATTTCCCTTTGGTTTAATTTGAGTGATTTTTCCATATCTGTCACTTTTTGGTCCAGTTGGTGTATTCTGTCTTCTGTATCTGACACTCTACCTTCCATTTCATTCACTCTGTTGACCGTGGCTTCTATTGTGGTTTGCATGATGGAAATGGATCCCTTTATGGATTCAATGTTGGTTCTCAGAGTACTGATCTCACCTCTCAATGAGGTGATATCAGTATGCATTACCTCTAATTTGGCGTTTATCTCACTTCTTACTGAGGTTTGTGCAGCTTCTATTTTTGCATCCAATTTTTGTTTGATATCCTGTATATCTTTTGATAGTTCATCCTTGTGCTCTTTCAATTTCTGATCCATTTCTCGCTTTATTTCTTGAGTCATTGCCTCCAGCAACCCTTGGATGTAGTTTTTGTCTTCCATTCCTGCTTTGCTCCCACTGGGGCTCTCCCCTGCGTGGCTGCTGGCTTTTGAGGTGAGCTTGCTGTCCTGGGTAGTGGTAAACCTTGTGATTTTTCTCTGTGATTTTCGCATGGGGGTTCAGGAGACTGCTCTTCAATCTTGTTTTGGTGTGTCTGTCTTTGCTTGGTTGTTGATTCTCTATTGGTAGAGAGAGTCTGTGTCTGATCTGGATTCTGTTGGGAGCCTATTTCCAGCTGCTATTCACTTAGGATTCTCAGCTCTCTGCTGTAGCAATTCCCGCCTTTGGAAGGGTTGAGCAGCCTAGACTGCTTGTGTTTGCTCCTGCGGGTGCTCTTGGGAAGATCAGATGCTCTGGATGCACTCTCCCAAATACTGGAGTCTGCTATGGGCTCCTGATGTGTTTTTGTTTGTTTTGGGCTGGTTGTGGGCTTGAACTCTAGGTTTGGGTGCTGTCCCTCAGCTCTTCAGCTCAGGGCTGGCACCCTACCATTTGAACCACAGCCCCACTTCTGACCCTTTTTGCTTTGTTCAGGCGCCGGTCCCCTGGCCTGGTTCCGGCCCCAGCCTGGAGCGCGCTTGTTACGCCTGTGCTAATGTGTATACCACCTTGGTTATGCAGCCTGGAGGACACAGTTCAAATTTCTTCTACTGTTGGTAGTCTTGACCCAGGGGCACTGTTCCTGGCTTGAGCATTTAAGCTCCCTTCCCGGGGCGCTCTTGCTCTGGCCTGGCCAGCAGAGTGTGCTCCACCGGCTGGTGGGGCTCTCGAACAGTTCCCAGTTTTAGTGGGTCCTGTGGTCCGGGTGTTGGGGTAGGGAGTCTAGGTCAGGGTCTGGGGATTCCCTCCAGCTCTGGTCTCCCTTGATGGATTCCCTGTCCCCTGATGGGTACTCACCCTGTAGGTCGTCAGTTGTTGTTGCAGTCCGTCAGTTGTTGTTGCAGTCCGAGTTCAGTTGGGGTGGTTGCGGGCTGGGTTGGGCGGCCCCCCGCCGGGTCGTTGCGATCGCGACAGGTCCCTTTGTGGCGCTGCTGGTGCCGGGCGGCTTTGGCGGGATGGAGCCTCTCCGCTCCGGTGGAGAGTGATGGGTGGGGTGGGATCCTCCTGGAGACTCCCGGCTGGTAGGTTTCTCTGTTCCTGGCGATCCGCTGTTCTGCAATCCGGTACCTGGTGATCTGCAAGCAGCCCCCTGTGTCTCTGGGGCTCCGGCAGCCCCTGCCGGGCCGGCTGGCCGGCGGCTTGGCGCACTGCCGCGCGGCCAGTAAAGGTTGGGGGAGGGGTCTTCGCTCTTCTCTGTTCTGAAATTCTTCTTTTCCTCTCTTTCTTTTTTTGTTATTTTCCACCTCTGGTTTTTCTCTGAGTGTTCGTCTTTTTGTTGTTGTCGGTCTCTTGGGGAGATTAAAGGTTGGAACTCGAACTCTCTTTTTGGTTGGAGAGAGCTGTGGCGTTTCCCTACTGCCCCGTCGCCATCTTGAGAACTCCCTGCATCTTGTTTTTGTAGATGGTATTGTTTCCTAGGAACAACCGGGGTATTAATCATGCCACAAATCACTACTTTCAGAATTACGCCCTGTAGGTTTTTAAGATAATGACATTTAAGATAATATACACTTATGTATAATAAATGAAGTATTTGCAAAGTTTATGTTTAAAGTCAATATTAAAAGCTAAAAGGAGCCTTGAAATTTTAGCTCGTGATTGAATATGCATAGTGCATTTCTCATAACTAAATCTCTGATGATGTGGGATAATTAATTGACTGATTGTTATTTTCTTATCTATAGATATAAGTATACAATTAAGTGCAGCCCAGTCTCGTTGTACTCTTCTAGAGAAACAACTAGAATATACAAAGAGAATGGTTCTCAATGTTGAGCGAGAAAAGACTATGATCCTAGAACAACAGGTAAACATTTTCTAGTGAATGATAATTTAATGTTTTTGAGGATTACTTATTATGACAAAATTCGCATATTCCAGCTTTAAGTAGAAAGGAAGATGGAAGGGAGGGAGAAGGAAACATAAAAGCATTAGATAATAAATAAGGCAGTAAAAAGTCACCAATTCAAATCCTTTGTCTGGGGAGTTGGACCTGACTTTCATCTGAGGAGTTGGATCTGACCTTTCAAGGCTCCTTTTTTCTAAGGGCTACCTTTCACAGCTATCTAGGGCTAAGAAAATTAAAATTAAAATACAGGGTCTATCAAGAGAAGGAACCCTAGCAACTCTCTTATGCTTTAGATGCTTTATAAAGGTGAGTCAGAAAGAAAACAACTCAAACTATAGTCCTTTTTTTAGGTTATTAGGGTGATCTAAAGAACCTTCATCCCTGAAATTGGATTAAAGTGATCTTACATAAGTAGTGTTTTAAAAAATATTTTTACAGGAAGTGGCACTGTGGCTCAAGTGGTAGAGCACTTGCTTTGAACTAAAAAGCTGAGGGACAGCACCCAGCCCACAGTTCAAGCCCCATGACCAACAAAAAACAAAACAACCCCCCCCCCCCAAAAATAGTTTTACCAATATTTCTTCAATACACTGAGCAACTATCAATCAAAGATAACCAGGCAGACAAGGCAAGTGGTTCACATCTGTAAGTCTCAATATTGAAAAGGTAGAGACAGAGTAGGGTCATGATTTGAGGCCAAAAGTTCATGAGACTTCATCTCAACAAATAGCTGGTATGGCAGTTCATACTTGTCATTCCAGTGACATGAGAATCGAAAATAGGAAGCTGTAGTTTAGACTAGCCTGAGCATAAACACACAACTTTATCCTAAAAGTAACAGAAGCAAAAAAGTTTCAGGAGATAAATGGCTGAGCACATTAGGCTCAGCCCAGGTAAAGTTAGTGAGACTCTAAATCAAAAAGAAAATTTAAAAGCAAGAACAAGGTATATTCAAGCCCAAGGTTTAATCTTCAAAAAAAAAGATAAAGATAGCCGGGTGCTGGTGGCTCATGCCTGTAATCCTAACTACTCAGGAGGCTGAGATCTCAGGATCTCGACTCAAAGCCAGCCGGGGCAGGAAAGGCTGTGAGGCTCTTATCTCCAATAAATCACTAGAATACCAGAAGTGGCACTGTGGCTCAAGCAGTAGAGTGCTCTCCTTGAACTGAAGAGTGCAGGGACAGCGCCCAAGCCCAGAGTTCAAGCCCCATGACCAACCAAAAAAAAAAAAAAGATAAAGATAATTTGTTACTAAAAGGGAACAATGAAAGGACATACTTAGAGGTTTCTTTTCTATAAAGGAACAGAGGTAGAAGAAGGAATAAAAAGCAACAAATATTGAGGGAAAATTCTTTGTCTATTTTACATATAATATTAAAATCTTTTAGATAATAGCTTATAAGTTAGGAAAAAATAAATATACTTTTAATATTCTTACATTATCTTAGAAAAGGGCAAAAATACAAACACTGGCTTTTATTGGGTTAAGCTGATTCTAGTGTTTATACAGAAAAGCAAAGGTCCAAGAATAAATAGCCTTACCTGCTTTGAAGAACAAGGTGAGGGTCTTGCTGAAGTAGATATTAAAACAAATTATAATGCTATCAAGTAAAAATAATATAGTATTCACATGTATAGTATCTAGAATAAAGGGATGGAATAGGATTGGAAACAATCTTTCTTGTATAGAAACTCAATATACAATTGTAGACAACTGAGGAAATAGACTGTTCAATAAATGATTCTTGGAAAATAGCTCAACTCTGAGAGGAAAAAAAACTGAATTCCTACCTTATACCATACATAAAATCAATTCCATGTGAAAACTTCTGTGTAAAACGCAAAACTGTGAGAATTTTAGAAACAAATGCAGAAAAACCTTTATGACTTTTTAGAGAGGAATTTTCTTTTTTTTTTTTTGGTCCGGTTGTGGGGCCTGAACTCTGGGCCTGGGCGCTGTCCCTCAGCTCTTCAGCTCAAGGCTAGCGCTCTACTACTTGAGCCACAGCGCCACTTCCAGCTTTTTTCTTTTTGCTTATGTGGTGCTGAAGAATCGAACCCAGGGCCTCAGGCATGCAAGGCAAGCGTTCTACCACTGAGCCACCTTCCCAGCCCCGTAGAGAGGAATTTTCTTAATATCAGGCTAGTACTCTGCCATTGGAGCTATGTTTTACCCCATTCCTATTCCTATCCCATCCAAGAAAGTCATAATCCTCCTACCATACTTTTCTTAGTGGCTATCATTACCAGCCATGGCCACCACACCCAGCTCCATTACCAGCCATGGCCACCACACCCAGCTCCATTACCAGCCATGGCCACCACACCCAGCTCCAGTGATTTTTAAATTCTATTGTCTTGTACCAAGTGTGGTAGCTTAACTTTATAATCTCAGCAACCTGAAGACTGAGACAAGAGGATCTTAAGATCAAGGATTCAGGCTGGTGGCTCAGTGGTAGAGCGCTTGCCTTCCATGATTGCAGCCCTGAGTTCGATTCCTCAGCACCACATAAGCAGGAAAAAGAAAAGCCGGAAGTGGCGCTGTGGCTCAAGTGGTAGAATGCTAGCCTTGAGCTGAAGAGCTGAGGGACAGCGCCCTGGCCCAGAGTTCAGGCCCCACAACCGGACCCCCCCCCCCCCCAAAAAAAAAAAAAAAAAAAAAAAAGATCAAGGATTCATTGTGAGATGACCTAGTCTCAAAAAAGATAAAAATAAAAAAAACAATCAATTAGTAGATTTAGACCTCTTTTTTACAAACTACTCTAGGAACTAAAATACATAGTATTAATTCACCATAATCTGCTATGCACAATATTAATATACTTTACATATCAGATTGTTATTACATACAGTATGCTTTTATTTATCCCCATATCTACTACAATTTTTGTACATTTTACTTTTACATATATTAGAAACTCATCTTTTATTATTGATTTTGTTTTAAATTGTCAGATATTTAAGAAAAGAAGCAAGAAAATATTTATGCTGGGTGCTGGTGGCTTATACCTGTAATCCTAGCTATTTAGGAGACTGAGATCTGAGAATTGTGGTTCAAAGCCAGCCCAGGCAGGAAAGTCCATGAGACCTTATCTCCAACTAACTACAAGAAAAGTGGAGCTGTGAATCAAAGTGGTAGAGTGCTAGCCTTGCACTAAAGAGCCCTAAGTTCAAGCCCCATGACTGGACTGCTCACCACCCCCCCAAAATAAAAGAAAATATTTATATTTCCACATTTTTACCATTTCTAGTCCTTTGGTGGTGTTGTTTTGTGTGTGTGTGTGTGTGTGTGTGTGTGTGTGTGTGTGTGTGTGTGTGTGTGTGTGTGTTTCCACATTTTTACCATTTCTAGTCCTTTGGTGGTGTTGTTTTGTGTGTGTGTGTGTGTGTGTGTGTGTGTGTGTGTGTGTGTGTGTGTGTGTGTAGGACTCATTTTCCCATCTGATAACCAGTTTCCTTCAGTCTAAAGAAAAATCTGAGTATGCTAAAAGTTCTTAGCATTTATCTGGAAAAGTCTTTTTTGCTGGGGCTTGAACTGGGGTCTTGAACTCAGGGCCTTGCACTCTCCCTTGGCTTTTTCACTCAAGTCTGTCGCTTTACTACTTGAGCCACACCATCACTTCCAGCTTTTTGTTGGTTACTTGGAGATAAAAATTTTACAGAAAAGCCTGGGCTGGCTTCAAACCTTCATCCTTAGATCTCAGCCTCCTAAGTAGCTAGGATTGTGGCCACCAGCACCTAACCAGAAAAGTCTTTATTTCACCATCATTTGCCAACGATATTTTTTGATATATTTTTTTGGGGGGGTCGGTCATGGGGCCTGAACTCTGGGCTGGGCTCACTGTCCCTCAACTACAGTGCCACTTCTAGCTTTTTCTGCGTATGTGGTGCTGAGGAATCGAACCTAGGAGTTCATGCATGCAAGGCAAGCACTCTACCACTGAGCCACCTTCCCAGCCCTTGCCAAGGACATTTTTACTGAGAATAGAATTCTAAATGAAAGCTTTTTAAAAATTGAGCACATTAATGATTTTGTTTCAGTTGTTTCCTAGCTTTCATAGTGTCCAGTGAGCATTTTATCGTCATTCTTCTATGTGTAACATGTCACACTTTCCAGGCTGCTTTTAAGATGTTCCATTAATGACAATTTGACAGTGATGTTTCTAAGGTTTCTGTGTATTTATCCACTTGGGATTTTCAAGAGTTTTTAATCTGTCAGTATTTTTCATTAAGTTTGGAATGCTTTTAGCACTTTCAAATTATTATTCTGTCCCACTTTTTTCTATTTTTATGAAACTAAACATGAAATGATACATCATTAAGACTGTTCATTAGTGGATGGATTCATTATTTGGTTGTTTTTTTTTGTTTTATTCAATAGACTTATCTTTTAGAACCATTTTAGGTTTAGAAATATTTAGCAAAGTTCTTTCCTGTCCCTTTGTAGTTGTTCTTCTTATTTTGATTAATGTGATGATAAACACCATTACAAAACAGTACAGAGTTATGCATATGTATAATTTCCTGTATTCTGTGTTCTTTTTATGTATCCTCTGATAGTTGCTTTTCTGTTAGAATGTCAGTGAATGGGTTTGGCCACTTTGTGAATTGTCCTTGGTAAAATTATTATATACTTACTTATAGAAGAGTTTATTCTATCAATGCTTTTGTCTCACATCGTTTTTGCACATATTTTCTCCTTGAAAGTATTTGATTTTCTTGTTTTTGCTTGTAAGCACTTGAAGTATATCCAAGTATGTGCATGCTTCTTATATACATTCATATTGCTTTGAATTCTCAGAAACTCTGATCCATTTGTATCACTTGCCAAATGCAGGTTTTATTTTTAATCTTTCCAGGCCCAGCTTCAAAAGGAAAAAGAACAAGATCAGATGAAGCTACATGCAAAACTTGAAAAGCTCAATGTCTTAGAGAAAGAATGCATTAGATTGACAACAACTCAAAAAACTGCTGAGGTAAGCTTCTACTTATTTCTTTGAAGTGATGATCAGAAATCTTTGATTTAATATCAAACACACACACAAACTGGCATTGTATATGAATATACAGTAAATCTTAGATTTATAAAACATCATGCACAACTTTGAGTAATATAGATATTAATTCTTCCATATAGAACCACTGTTCTGTCATGACATGAATGAGCTTGCTTTTTTATGTGAAATTGTAATTTTGACTTCTAAGATGACAAGACATTTTCATTTGTCAGATAACTTGCCTAACATATATTGAAAATACCATCTTTTACCATTCGCAGTCAAGTTATGCCTATCCTAGGTTCTCTTCCTCTCTACCCCACCCTGCCTTCCTCATTTAACAAGATTCCCTCAAAGTTCTTTTCCTTCTTTGAAAGCTTCCGTTGTTATATAATACTCAGAAAGTTCTTCTTTTGAAATAATACTATCCTCCTATTCTGAACTACATGATAGATATATAAGATGTAATTCTTTATATATATGATACATACATGTATATATATGTATATACATATATATGGATATATGGCCCCTGTCAAATCTCATTCACTGCTTTGTTGTTTTATTGTTTCATGTAAGTTATTCTTGTTTTCCTATGTGCTCTTAAATAACAAGGATTATATTTTATATTTCTGTCTATGGCCCATCTTCTCTCAGGAACTATATTCTTACATACACATGGTAGACACTGTTATTTTTCTGTTTGAATGGACCATTGAGACCAAAACCATACTTATTTGACCTTCCATACCTATAATACCCTGAAGATTTCATTGTTACGGTTTTGTTGATGCAAGTTAAGTTAAGAAAGTCTGTAGGTGTATACATTCTTTGTTTTTGCTTTGTTCTCCTTATATTATAACAGGTAAGAAAGTATAGGAAGAAAGCCAAGAAAAATCTTTAACATGTTTTTTCTTTTTCTTATTCTTTGCTTTAACTTTCCAACTCTTAAAAAGCAAGAGCCATGGGATTCTGTTTGGGAAGGGAACAAAGAATATTTATTTGGCTCTAATTTTTATAGAATAATCCCCTCAAAATATTTTTATTACCATTAAGTAGTTGTGCAAAGGAGTTGCCATTCAACAAAATCCCCAAGTTTTTATTCTTCTACAGGACAAGATTAAATATCTAGAGGAAAAGCTTAGGGAAGAAGAACATCATCGTAAACTGTTTCAAGACAAAGCTTCTAAGGTAAATAGCATTATTTAATCTACCCTGGTAGAGTTACATGTTTTACTGTTTTACTATACTTAATTGAACCCTGTATTCTAGATGCTAAATTTCTGCTCTCCTTGATGTTTAGTTTCATCTGTTTTGCTGTAATAATGAAATTCTTAACCAGGTATTAATATACTTGGAAGCATTTCCAAAAGTTGTTTCTAGTGCATAATTCTTAGTTGAAATAACCTCTACAACAGATTATTTTCAGTTTGAGATATATCTACATGTCATATATACAATATTTTTTATAAACAAAAAGTATGAAATTACCATAGACCTATGACCTTTATACAGCACATGTGCACGCGTGTGTGCGCACACACATACACACACACACACACACACACACACACACACATACACACCACAGAGTAGTAGTTTTCATCCTCACAAAGCTGGAGGTTTTTTTTTTTTTTTTTTTGGCGTTTGCTTTGTTTTGATTTTTGAGGTAAAGTGTCAGTCTGCTGCCTAGGAAGATCTTGAACTTACAGACTTATGCAAATGCTTTCACTTTAGTCTCCTAAGTAGCTGGCTGAGATTAGAGGCATATTGTCAGAGTTACCTGTCTCTCAAAAAGCTTTTTTATACTTATAAACTGACACTTGACCTTTCATAATATGTGAAAACACTTGTTGCTGATTAATTTTATGTTTCTTTAATATTATAGCTTCAAACTGGGCTTGAAATCAGTAAAATTTTAATGTCTTCAGTTTCAAATTCAAAACTCTCCAGGGAAAAGAAGAAGTCATCAAAGGTATACATGTAGAGCTTTTTTCCTAAACAACTTTTTCTTATTTTCTACTATTCACTTATTCATCCTTTTAATCTTTCTGCCTTCCTATTTTCATAAAGGTTTTGAAGGGATTCATAAGAGGCCATGAAATGAGTCAAGTGATAATGGTAGCTGTCTTCATAAAATATTAGGAAGCAATTCAGTTTTTTGTAGAAAGACAAGCATTTTGCTGTTTTAAACTCTTAAAGAAATGTATTTTGTGATACATTTAAAAGGAGGACAAAAATAGAACAATAAATGATGATAACAATAAATCCTGAATGCAGTTTTACTTAATATATGCATGTAGAAAAAGGTTGTTCTTGTTTTTTTGTTTGTTTGTTTTTTCTTTTTGGAGCCCAATCTAGCTTTAAACTCTTTATCCTCCAGTCTCCACCTTCTGAGCACTGGGATGACAGCTATTTGACACCTTGCCCAGCTTAATCCCTTTTACTCATAGTTATGGAATTCATTGCATATGCATATACTGAATGTGCATACCATATGTTTGGGGCATCAGGGATACTATTTCAGAATTATAATGCTTACCTGGTGGGTTTAATAAGGGCACATTATATACTTAACTTTTTTTTTCTTTTTCTTTTGTGATGGTCCTGTGACTTACACTCAGGACCTAGGCACTGTCCTCAACCTTATTTTGCTCAAGGCTAGCATTCTACCACTTGAGCCACAGCTTCACTTCCTGCTTCTTTGGTAATTCATTGGAGTTAAGAGTCTCACACACTTTCCTGCGTGGGCTAGCTTTGAAACATGATCCTCAGATCCCAGCCTCCTGAGTAGCTAGTGTTATAGGCATAAGCCACCAATGCCTAGCTGTACTTAATTTTTGCTACTATATTTTGCTACTCTTTCTTTCTTTTCAAAACAGGGTTTTGCTATGTAGTCTAGGCCAGTCTTGAACTTTGACGATCCTGCCTCATTTTGTCAAGTATTAGAATTACAAGTATATGTCACCATATCTAGTTTAGCTGGTCTTTCATTTTATAAATAAGAATTGCTGTTGAAAGAAAAAAGCCAAAACAATTACTTTGAATACTCTGGCTGTAATTTGTATATTTTTCCTTTTAAAGAATTTTCTAACTCTAATGATGAAAACCTTCCAAGTTATTATGTATTTTTGTTTATTTCCTTCCTTAAATATATCTTATTTGTACGATGAGCTTTGAAACTAAGCTGTTTAGAAAAACTGGAAGTAATTTACAAGTGAAGCAAATAATTTTCTTTTTTGACAGTACATGTCAGTATATGTGTTATGTAAGCACATTCCAGGCAAGCACTTAACCACTGAGCTTCATCCCCACCCATTAACATGTTGTATGTTGGCGGGAGGCACCCTTTATCTGAGAAATTAGTGGAAATATTTGAACTTACTTATTGTAAATGATACAGGGAAAAGACAAAAGAAATAATGGAAAGGTAGCTCCTGAAAAAGAACAGTGTAACAGCAAATTCATGTTATAAAAGTACTCAGTTCAAATCCCAAGTTCATAGGGTATGCAAGTAATAAAGTTTTGTTGTTGTTTTAAAAAAAAAAATAGAGAAGCTGGGTGCTGGTGGCTCATGCCTGTAATCCTAGCTACTCAGGAGACTGAGGCTGCCATCTGAAGATGGCAGTTCAAAGCCAGCCCATGCAGGAAAGCCAGTGAGACTATCTCCAATAAACTACTCAAAAAAAGGGAGAAGTGGTGCTGTGGTTCAAGGGGTAGAACGCTAGACTTGAACACAGAGAGGCTCAGGGACAGTGTGCAGGCTCTGAGTTCAAACCCCCCAAAAGATGGAAAAAGCAGTAAAGTTGCTGATGGTTGGATCAGATTAAGAGGCCTCTGAGAACCTGCTTATCTCCGAACTGTTTCTCTATATCTTGAATTGCACATTCAAATCATACATTTTGATGAATGGGGTGGGTAGGAAGTTTGGAGAAATAATAATAAATAATATTACACAGTATAATAAAATTTAATGAAGGTATAACAAAATAGACTGAGATGAGGAAGCATACAGTCTGAGAAAATGGTTTGTTTTACCACAGTAGTAGGTAGTAGTTTGGTCGTAGATTTTTATAGGGTTATAATAAAAATTAAAGTTAAAATTATAGCTTGGCCAGGCGCTGATGGCTCATGCCTGTAATCCTAGCTACTCAGGAGGCTGAGATCTGAGGATTGAGGCTCAAAGCCAGCCCAGGCAGGAAAGACCGTGAGACTCTTATCTCCAATAAACCACTAGAAAACTGGAAGTGCCACTGTGGCTCAAGCGGTAGAGCACTTGCCTTAAGCTGAAGAGTGCAGGGACAGAGATCAAGCCCCACGACCAACAACAACAAAAATATATATAGCTTGGAATGAGATTATGGCTCACTTTCAATGCCATGTTAGCTTTTATAAGCAGTTGGAAACTATTGAAAGGTTCTGAGAGTAGGGTCATAATTCAAGCTGCAGTTCAAATGGTAACTGACAACACCATGGTAGTCTTATATAGTTTTATTAGGTGTGTAGCCATCGAAGCAATCTAGATACAGAACTTGTCCACTACTACAAGACCTTTTAGCCACATATACCCCTCCATGACCCCTGGAAACTTCTAATCTATTCATCATCTTTATAGTTTTTTTTTTAATGTCAAGAATGATTATTTTATTTTACTATTGTGCTTGCTAGTACTGGAGTTTGAACTCAGGTCCTCAAGCTCTTGCTCGGTTTTATCTGCTCATGGCTAGAACGATACCACTTGAGCCATACCTTACAATGTCAAGAATGTTTTATAGCCCGGTGCTGGTAGCTTATGACTATGATTATCTAGATACTCCGGAGATTGATCTGTTCTGAGAAGTTTATAGTTCAAAGCCAGCCTAGATAGAAAAGTTTATAAGATTCCATCTCTGAAATAACCAGCAAAAGTCTGGCATGGCTCAGGTGGTAAAATACCAGCTGAGCAAGAAGCGAGCCAAGCAAGCATGAGGCCAATGAGTTGAAACCCAAGTACCATCAAAATAAAAAAAAATTTATAAATGGAATCATGTAGTATGTAATTTCTGATTCTGCTTATTTTCTCCCTGGAGATCCAGCCGAGGTATTCACTACAGTAGATCTACATACTATTTAATCTTAGGAACCTACCAGTTTAACCATTCACTTGTTAAAGGGCATTTAGGTTGTTTCATATTTAAGACTGTACAAATAAAGCTCTTGTGAACATTTATTTGCAGGTTTTTGTCTGAGCATCACCTTTTATTTCTCTGTGACAAATCCCCAAGCATACACTTAGGACATAGTCTTTTGTAAGAAATTGCCAAACTGCCTTCCAAAGTGACTATTTACCATTTGTATTCCCACCAATAACATATGAGTGATCCAGTTTTTTCTGTGTCTTTGCCACCATTGATGTCATCACTGTTTTTTATTTTCACCATTTAGTAGGTATGCAATGTAATTTTATCTTGTATTTCCCAAGTGCCTAATGATACTGGCTGTCTTTTCACATTTATTTTCCATCTGTATGTCTTCTCCAGTGAGATGTTTATCCATGTCTTTTGCCTGTTTTCAAATAGTCACTTCTGCTTAATATTGAATTTTAAGAGTTCTTATCACAAAAATACTTTTAAATAATGTTTTTGTATACTTTTTCTCTTATCAATTTTTAGAAAACTTTAAAAAGAAGCCCATCACAGCAAATGTATTCAAAGCTTAGAGCACCACCTTTTGTACCTGAAAAGGTAAGAGGATAAAAATGAAAATAGTATAAAAAAAATTCTGCTTTAAATTACTGTTAAGTACTATTTAAATACCATCAGCCATTTAAATTTGTTTTCAGCTATTTCTTTTCCCTTTAAGTCGGCCAGTGCAGGCTATTCTGTGAATGCAGGTATACAAACCCTTCTGCAGATGATGTATCACCATGGCCCACATCATCAGAAACCTGTTCAGGTGATTGAGCCAAGACGCCTCCACAAGCCTGCCAGAACAGCTTCCCAGGGTAAAACTGTACCTTGTGACTCAGGAAAGTCCATTTCCGTTTGTGACAATTTGTCTGAAATTTTAATGGCGATGGAAGATGAGCTAGACCAAATGAATATGTATGTATTTTTTTTCTTTATCAAAATATCAAGTAGCAACAAGAAAATAAAATATACTTTCTTCTTCTTTTAACAACAATGCTGTCTATAATTCTTAAGTCTCTTAGCTATTTGTGCTTATTTTGATCCCTAGGCATATTGTTGTGTTTTTGTTAATTTATTATATTGCTTATGTTTGGTTATTGGGGTTTTGTTTGTTTGTTTTACTGTGTGCAATTACTACTTTTTGAATCAGGAAAGTTTCTCTTTTACCAAGGTCTGAACCTACAGACAAATAATACTAACATTAGGAACTGGTGACCTTAGAGTATAACTCATAAAAAGCCTTTTGAAAATAAATTCTCCTGCCTATTGCTGGTGGCTCACACCTGTAATCCTAGCTACTCAGAAGGCTGATATATGAGGAGTGCAGTTTGAAGCCAGCTCAGGCAGGAAAGTCCATGAGACTCTTATCTTCAGTTAACTACCAAAAAGCTGGAAATAGAGCTATATCTCAAGTGGTAGAGTGCTAGTCTTCAGGACAAAAGCTCAGGGACAGTGCCCAGGCCCTGAGTTCAAACCCCAGGACTGGCACCAAAAGATAGATAGATAGATAAATAGATAGATAGATAGATAGATAGATAGATAGATAGATAGATAGATAGATAGATAGATAGATAGATAGATAGATTCTCCTTTTTGTTGTTGTTATTTTGTTTTTGTTTTTTTAAAAGAAACAAAATGGATGATTTCATTAGACAAGTAAGCCTGTGATTCCTTGTTTTAGACTCTGGCTAATACACATGTCAAATATTTAAGCATCCATAGTAAGGAAGATTCTTTATGGGAGACATTATACACCACACTTAAATATGTATCCAACAGAAATTCCAGAGCTATGTGATTCAACAGAAATTCCACAATTGTGTTTTGGCTGACCCTAATAGTTGAACTGGACCTCTATAGAAACATATATATCTAGTTCTATTGACAGGATCTTAAATTCTAGAGTTGTAATTGAAGAGAGTTCTTTGAGGCTTCTAGCCAAGGACATCAGAACATTTTATGACATTTAACTATTTAACTTTGTGTGTGTGTGTGTGTGCTGGTCCTGAGATTTGAACTCTGCATCTGGATGCCGTCCCTGAGCAGCTTTTGCTCAAGGCTTACCACTTAAACCATAGCACCACTTCTGGCTTTTTTCAATCATTTATTGGAGATAAGAATTTTATGGACTTTGTTGTCCAGGCTGGCTTCAAACTGCCATCCTCAGAAATCAGCCGCCTGAATAGCTAAGATTACAGGTGTGAGCCACAGGACTTGGCTTAACTTTTTTTTTTTCTTTTTTTGGTGCTTGTCCTGGGGCTTGAACTCTGAGCTTGAGCACTGTTCATGGAACTTTTGACTCAAGGCTAGTGTTCTACAGTTAAAGCCTTGGCTCAGTGCTTACTTCAGCATCTTGGTAGTTAGTTGGAGATAAGAGTTTCACCGACTTTCCTGCTGGGCTGGCTTTGAACCACAATCCTCAGATCTCAGTCTCCTGAGTAGTTAGGGTTACAGGCATGAGTTCGCAGAGCCCAGTGATATTTAGCATTGATTATTTAATAGTTCAGAATTTTTGAAAGTTGTTCAGAAGCTGAAGTCTAAGAAACTTCTAAATGTGTTTACTCTCAAATCACAAGAGCCTGGTTATATTTGACATCAATTTTATTAGACAAATCTAAAGAAAGAGACTACTTGAAGATGAATACTTAACTCTAAAACTTATGATTAAAAAACATTATAGCAAACCCATACTTTGTCATAACTATAATATTACTTGTTATAATATTATTTGTTTTGTTGTTATTGTTGTTGCTTTTAGAAACCTCTCTGCATATCCCAGGCTGTCCTCTTAACTCATGATCTTCCTTCCTTTACCTCCAGACAACTAGGATTAAAAATGTGTGCCATATCATCGCATCATATAAAGTATCAGCCATGTGTCAGACAAGAAACAATTGGTTTTTGTTTTATTTTGGTCTGATTTGATATTGTGTTGCTAGTCATTGAGCCCAGGGCCTTGCACATGCTAGGCAAGCACTCCAACCCTGAAATACATCCCTAGCCTTAATATTTGCTTTTCGGTTATAGGGAACGTGAAGAACTACTGAAACAAATGAAGGAATCTCAAAGTCATTCAGTCTGTGATGATATAGAATGTGAACTAGAGCATCTAATCAAGAAAATGGAAATTAAAGGAGAACAAATCTCCAAACTGAAGAAGCATCAAGACAGTGTAAGAAAGCTTAAGAAAAAATTGTCTTAATAAAAATATCTGGATTCAGTGTTACATCTTTGTATGGCCTTTCAAATGTGAGTTTGGTCTGTATAGTAAGAAAGATAGAGGGGTGACACTGTTCAAAAAGAAATGTATTCAATACCTGACCTATGTTAACTGTAACCCCTCTATACATCACCTTTACAAAAATAAAAAAAAGGAGAAGAAGACTCAAGTAGGTCTCTCATAGAAAAGTCTGCCCCCATGAAATAATTCTCCCAAGATTACAAGAGAATAATGAAGTTCACTTATATATTCAGACTTAGGAAAAATTGTGAGTAAGCCTTAGCAGCACCAGTCATCCTTTATAACATTGGTTTCTCTATCATCTCTCTTCAGATGCTTTAATGATGCCCCTTGTGTCCTCAGGTCTCTTAAGATAATACTCCAGTACACCTGGCTCCTCAAACCATACCAATCCTAAAACCAGTTTCCTTCTTTAAAAAAGCTGCTGAGCTCCATTCCTAAGAACTTGTGCTCAGCTATCTATAGTCAGTAGGAAAGGGTATTGAGGACAACTCTGTACTTGTATGAAGTCTTAATTACTAAATGTGGTGTAGTATTTGAATATTTTAACAGAAATATCATAGGTATAATATTTTATCCCAAGAATAACTCCATAGTTGAATTAGGGAAACCATAATTATAGTAAATAGGCTCTCTGCCTATTCATGCAGGCTAATGCAAATATACTGTGTGCACATGTACACACACACCCAACTTTTATACAAAAGTAATAAAAGATATAGAGCATTATTGCCTTAATTCTTTTTTTTGTGGGGAGTCCGGTCGTGGGGCCTGAACTCTGGGCCTGGGTGCTGTCCCTCAGCTCTTCAGCTCAAGGCTAGCACTCTACCACTTGAGCCACAGCGCCACTTCCGACTTTTTTCTTTTTGCTTATGTGGTGCTGGGAAATCGAACCCAGGGCCTCATGCATACAAGGCAAGTGCTCTACCACTGAGCCACATTCCCAGCCCTGATTGCCTTAATTCTTATGGCCAAGAAATAAAGAAAAAATTTGAAGCAACATTTTCACTTTACTGGCTTTTAAGGAGGTAGTAAGTAAAAAGTTTTATATGTTTGTTTTGGGGTAAAGATTACACAATGTATACATTTTCTTTAGATTGCATAAGAGAAACTTGAAAGAAATAGAAGAATAATCATGTTTCTATAACTTAGCATATATATATATATATATATATATATATATATATATCTCATATTTTGAAAGTCAGGATTTGTATTTCTTAATAGCTGTAACAGTATACATTTCCAAACATTTTATCATGGTAAATTTAATCTGTAATAAAAATTGCCTCTTAGCCAACCTCCCATTTGCTCGCACCTGTAGTCCTAGCTACTTAGGAAGCTGAGAACTGAAGATCATGGTTCAAATCCAATACAGGCAGAAAAGCCCAAGAAATTCTTGTTTCCAATTATTCACCAAAAAAATAGATGTAGAGCTGTGGCTCAAGTGGTAGAGTGCTAGCCTTGAATAAAAAAGCTCAGGGACAGTACCCAGGCTCTGAGTCCCAGGACTGGCACCAAGAAAAAAATTGCATCTTAGGCAAAAAGATGCATTCACCCTATGTCTGCATTAGCTCTAAAACTATATCTGGTAGGCTATACGTAAGTGAAATAAGCTAAGTAGTAGGGTAGACTTAGTCAATAGGAATATTTTTTTTTAATTCTATCCTGTTATTAGCACATACTCAGAAAGAGAAAATTCTTCCTTTGAATTTTTTTCAACATTCACTAGTACTTTAGAAATACTTTTTTTTTTTTGGGTCCGATCGTGGGGCCTGAACTCTGGGCCTGGGTGCTGTCCCTCAGCTCTTCAGTTCAAGGCTAGCGCTCTACCACTTGAGCCATAGCACCACTCCGGCTTTTTTTTTTCTCATGTGGTGCTGAGGAATCGAACCCAGGGCCTCATGCATGCAAGGCAAGCGCTCTACCACTGAGTCACCTTCCCAGCCCCTAGAAATACTTTTAAGACAATACAGGCATGCACACATACACACAATGTATAAACTCACATTTCATTCTTAGCACCAATTCTTTGCTTTGCTGCTATTATCACCTGACAAGTCTCTCTCTCTCTCTCTTTCTCTCTCTCTCTCTCTCTCTCTCTCTTCTCTGATTTTAGTTTTTTACGAATTTCATATCTTCAATAATTTTTCTGTCCTTCACACCACGTTGATCTTGCTGGACTTCAGCCTTTAAATCCACTTTTTATTTTCTCTTGGCAGTACTGGAGTTTATACTTTTTTCTAACCATTTATCTTACTTTGAACTATCCCTAATTATTGTATATATGCTTTTACTACTAAACAGAGCAATAAACTCTTTGGAAAGACTTTATTATTTTTACTTGATTAGTACAGTTTAGGTATGTAAAAGTGGTCCAATAAATAACTGACTAAATTGAACTTTTTAATTTATTGTAACATTTAAACTGTCAACCCAAGTGATCCATTATAGAGCTTTTTTTTTTTTTAACTAAAACATTAGATTGTTTTTTTCTCTCCAGGTCCAAAAACTGCAGCAAAAAGTTCAAAACTCAAAGATAAATGAAGCTTCGGGTATTCATCGAGAAGAAAGCAACCCTAAAGGAACAAAGAACATAAAAAACAGCTCCAGGAAATGTTTGAATGAAACTAACCCTTTTCAGAAAAACAGCAGCTCTCATCCAGTACAAGTTCATAATGTTCAAGTGAAATTGAGAAGAGATGATATCATGTGGGAGCAGTAACACAATAGCAAAACTCTCACCTTAAATGAACTTTGTCTGCGACCTCTTGAATTACCTAATATGCTTTTAATATACCTTTCTGAAATTTTGAATTATGTTTCTGGCATCTATAAAAACAGGAAGTTACATGTTTAAAAATTAATGCTTAATGACCTACTAAGAATTCCAAATTAATTTTCATTTACCAAATTTTCTGACCTCATCATGTTTTAGAAGCATTGCTCACTTTGCAGGTATCTTACATAAAGTCGAAGAAATTGTATTAGATTGGTAATGCTTAAGTTCAAGTTAAATCTGAGATACAAGTTTCATTCCACTTTTTTGTTTACTAGGCTTAATTTTCCTGGGGCTGCTTCCCTATCTTATTTTAAAGCTGTGGACTGTGTTTTTTGGTGAGGGGGAGGAGAAAAATATTCAGATTTCATGAAGACACCTTTAACCTAAGTTTTATGTGCCAGTTACAAATATTGACTTAATTTTAATTTTAATTTTTTTTTTTTGTCAGTCGTGGGGCTTGAGCTCTTCAGCTCAAGGCTAGCGCTCTACCGCTTGAACCATGGCACCACTTCTGGTTTTCTGGTGGTTTGTCCTAGATAAAGAGTCTCATGGACTTTCCTGCCCAGGCTAGCTTTGAACCATGATCCTCAGATCTCAACCTCCTGAGTAGCAAGGGTTACAGACGTGAGCCACCGGCACCTGGCCTGACTTAATTTTTAGAAGACAGTAATTCAACTGCAGAAACTTCCCTTTGATATTACCATTCCCTTTTATAAATATAGTTTGTTTTTAACACTGGTCAGCTATATATCATACTCTTTTATAACTTTTACTGTTATGTATGTTTATCAATATTAGTTGACAATATGATATGTAGGACCCAAAAGCATAGTGTATTTTTCTAAGAAAGTGCAAGAAGAGGAAGTTAGCTATTTAATTACATCATCCAGAAAGATTCAGACATGTTTTTATTTTATATACAATTTTTAATTTAATGAGTATTTCTTATGTTTTAAAATCAGTGATGTCACAATGGATTTCTTTGTATGTGAATGCTTTGTAATAAATTTATACTTACGATGTGTCTTTCCAAAACCCTATGGAAACTAGTTAAATCTCTTATGATAATGTTGACTTCTCACATCATCTGAAACACTAGAGAACTGAGAGTCATCAACTAAAATAGAGTTAGAAGACAGAAAAGCTATAAGAAACCCAAAGACTCAGAAGGTAGGAAAGCAGATTAAAAGATAATGATTACAAGGGGTAGAATTTGAGGTAGATTCACAGTGGAGTAGGATGTCTAACTTACAGGAATGGAAGGATGTTTAGGTCAAAATCTTAAGGAGCTAAGAAAATAACATTTAAGATAATCCTTCTGTTTTCCTAGAAAACTATCATAATTGTGTTGGAGAAATTAATTGTGGACTCCTTTCTGGGTAGGAGAAGAACTATGTGGTTCATTCTAATAATGAAAAATGACATTAGAAGCTTTTCTATACCTGGAAGTGGAGAAGTAACTGAAAATAGGCAAATTGACTTGGAATTGAACTTGGAAATAATGAAATGACAGAGATAAAATTTTTCTCTCCTGGTTTAAATAGTCTATGTGCCTTTGGCTTGTTTTTTCCTCACTTACCTCAGTCCTGGAGATGATCCACACAGTGTTCTACTGAAGGTTTACCACAGTACCCTTTTTCTACCTCATCTGCCTTCCTCAGAGAAACTAGTTCTGTAAGTTAAGCCTAACTAAAACAAAACAAAAATCCACCAGGACCATAATACAGTCTTTTATTTCTGTACCTTTATTTCCACTTAGGAAAGTGGTTGACTATATTTAGCTTACCAGCAAAGTTATGTGTGAAAATATATTCTTTAAAAAATATTTTTAAAGGGGAAAAACAAGTCATTTAAATAAGGATACAGGTGGACCCGTTGCAACAATGAGATGTACAAGTTGTCATGTCGAAAACGAACTTTACAACTTTGGTGGGGGATGGGGGGAGGATTGGGTGGGCGGGGAGGCTTGGAAGGGATGGGAAGGGGAAACAAAGGAGGAGGCTACAATGCTTGATAAGAAATGTACTCATTATCTTGCCCATGTAATTGTAACCCCTCTGTACAGTTTTTTTCACAAAAAAATATTTTTAAGTTGTTATTATAAAGGTGATAATACAGAGGGGTTACCATTTCATAAGTCAGATAATGTGTTCATTTCTTTTTGGACAATGTTACCCTTCCTTTACTCTCTCCCAGGTTTCCCCTCCTGTCCCTACCTACAAGTTGTATAGTTCATTTTCAACATAGTGTCTAGTGAGTACCACTGCTGCATTTTTTTTGTTCACCTTTTTTCCATTTCAGTGTCCCTCCTTGCTTCCCAAAGACAAAAATGAACAAACAAAACAAAAAGAAAAGAGAAACAACTCATTTTCATTTTCTGGAGTTCATTTCAATAGATATTATTTTCTATCATCAGAGGCAGAAAGGTATTTTGCCTTTCTTTTCCTCTCTTCCCTTTGGACTTACTGTGTGTGTCTAGAGTCCTATATAGTTTATCATGTCCCAGATCTAGCTTCCACATGAGAGAATACCTATGCCATTCATCTCTGAGCTTGGCTGTCCTCACTTAACATGATTTGTTGTAGGTCCATTTCCCTGTAAATGGCATAATATTATTCTAATGGCTGTGTACAATTCCAATATGTATAAGTACCACAATTTTTTTGGATCTACTCTTCTATTGTAGAGCATCTAGGCTGTTTCTATAGCTTGGCTGTTGTGAATAGTGTAATGATGAACATGGATGTACAAGTGTCTTTATGATACCCTGGCTTGTGATGTTCTGGGTAGATGCCAGGAGTGGTATGGCTGGGTGGTAGGGATGATCCTTGTTTAGTTTTTGGAGGAATAGCCAGAATACTGTGCAAAGTGATTGTGTTAGTTTACATTCCCACCAACAGTGCAATAGGGTTCCTTTTTCCCCATATCCCTGCCAGCATTTGTTGTTCTTCAAATTCACAAGGTTGGCCAGTCTAACCGGGGTGAGATGGAATCTCAGAGTTGTTTTGATTTGCATTCCCTTAATGACCAGGGCTGTTGAGCATTTCTTCATATGTTTCTTACATTTTCTGAGAAGTCTCTCCTTAGCTCCTTTGCCCATTTAGTGTTTTCTTTATTGGCTTTGGGAGGGGTTATTTTCTTGAGCTTCTGTATATTTTGGATATTAGGCCTTTGTCAGATATATTGCTGGTAAAATTCTTCTAGTCTGTTGGCTGTCTTCTAGTTTCGTAACTATGTCCTTTACTATGCAGAAACTTTTTATTTTGATGTAATTCCATTTGTCACATTTCTCTCCTATCTACTGTGCCCTGAGACTCTTTTCAAAAAGTTTCTGCTTTATGCCTATAAGTTCCAATGTTTCTCCTAGTCCTTCTTTCAGTAATTTTGAAGTTCCAGGTCTGGCATTGAGGTGTTTTATCTGCTTTGAACTGGTGACAAACAGGGATCCATTTTTAGTTTTCTGCATATGGATACCCAGTTTTCCCAGCACCAATTACTGAAGAGCCTATCTTTTCCCCACGTATGTATATCTTTGGCTCCCTTATCAAATATCAAAAAACGGTAAGTTATTTCTGGGTCTTCTAATCTATTCCACTGATCTTCAGGTCTATTTTGCACCAATACCATGTTTTTTTTTGTTATTATAGCATATGAATTTTTTTTTATTATTTATCTCGGTAAAGAATGTCATTGGGATTTTGGTGAGGATCATGTTGAATTTGTAGATAATTTTTGTCAGTACAGCAATTTTCACAATATTCCACCTATCCATGAGCATGGAAGGTCTTCCCATTTCCATCTTTGATTTGTTTCTTCAAATTTTTATAGTTTTTGCTGTGAAGGTCTTTTGTTTCCTTGGTTAGATTTATTCCCAAATGTTTTTTTTTTTTTTCCCAAGGCTGTTATGAATTGTTGTCCTAATTTTTCTCTCTGGTATGCATTGTTTATATACAGAAAGGCTATTGATTTTTATGGGTTAATTTTGTATCCTGTTACTTTGCCAAAGTTATTGATTAGCTCTAGGAGAAACTTAGGGATGGGGTCTTTTGGATGCTTTAGCTATAAGATCAAGTCATCTGAAAATGGTGATGTTTGACTTCTTCTTTCCCTATGTGAACCCCTTATTTTAATATCTTTTTTCTTGCCCTTTATTGCTCTGCCTAGGAATTCCGAAACTGTATTGAAGAGGAGAGTGTGGATAGCCTTGCCTTGTTCCTGATTTTAGAGATGGTTTTAATTTTTCACTATTAAGTATAATGTTAGCTGTTGGTTATATATAACGTTATTTTGAGGTATATTCTTTCAATTCATAGCTTCTCCAAGCTTTTAACAAGAATGGATGTTGGGTTTTGTTAAAGGCTTTTCTGTTTCTATTGGAATAATCATGTGTCCTTGGCTTGGTTGATTGCAGCTCTGGGATGAAATCTACTTGTTCATAATATATGATTTTTTAAATTACTTGCTGAATTCTGTTGGCTAATATTTGAGGAGCTGTGCATCTGTTCATCAGAGAGATGGGTCTATAGTTCCCTTTTTTCATTGGATACCTAACTGGTTTTATGATGAGAGTAATGCTGGCTTCATAAAATGAGTTTGGAAATGATCCTTTTTCTATTTTATGAAAAGTTTGAGGAGTGCCAGTGTTAGTTCAACTTTAAAAGTCTTATAGAATTGAGGTGTGAATCCTTCAAGACTTGGGCTTTTCCTTGATAGAAGACTGCTGATTACTACCTCAATCTCATTGCATATTATGGAACTGTTTTTAAGTGGTTTACATCTTGTAGGTTCACCTTAGGCAGTGTGTATGTCTCTAGGAATTTACCCATTTCTTATAGATTTTCCACTTATTGGAGAATAAGTTTTGAAAGTAGTCCTTCATATTCTTTTGGATTTTTTGGATGTTTGTTGTAATATTTTCTTTAGGATTTCTGATTTTGTTATATGAGTCTCTTCTTCATCAATTTAGCCAGTGGACTGTCAATTTTATTGATTTTTTTCAAAGAACTAGCTTTTTGTTTCATTGATTTTATGTACAATTTTTTTAGTCTCTATTTCATTGATTTCTGCCTTAATCTTTACTATCTCTGTCTAGTATTTGGGGTTTAGTTTGTTCCTGTTTTTCAAGCAGCTTTAGTTACATCATGCAGTTATTTACTTGTGGTATTTGTTTTCTTTTTGCATATGCTTAGAGCTATGAACTTACCTCTCAACACTGCTTTTGCAGTATCCCAATGATTCCAGTATGATGTGTTTTCATTTTCATTGAATTGTAAGAACTTTCTGATTTCTTCCTTTATTTTTTCACTGATCCACCTGTTGTTCAACAGTGTGTTGTTCAGGCTCCATGTGCTTAGTGTTTTCTGTAGTATGTTTTGTTTTTGAGATATAGTTTAATTCCATTGTAATCAGATAGGTTGCAAAGAATTATCTCAGTTCTCTTGTATTTGCTCAGGCTAGTGTGTCCTAGGATATAATCAGTTTTGGA